GAGGACAAAAAAGCCTACCAGAACTCGATTCTCAGTTGAGAACCAGGAGGAGTGAGTGGCTGAACAGATGATGACTGATTAGCCACATCCTCTTTGTAACCATATTTCTCAATTGGTTTCTCAGAACTCTTTTTGCTTTTGTTTTTAAAGAAGAAAACAAATAAAGTGCATGTAAAAATACAAAGTTATTGTCATTTAAGTCAACTTCCTAAGAAAGAGAAGTTTCCTTGGGAGCACCACCATTTACCATGCTTTTTTACCCTAGGCCTACAAAGGGCTGCAGTCCCAAATAGGATTAAATATCACAGCATAATACATCATTCTGAACTCCAGCTACAAGGACCGAATAATATTTTAAATAAACAGGTCAATACTCTGTCATACTTCAACAAACACTGTGCTGTTGGAATGTATTTCATATAAATGCAAAGCTTCTTGGCATCCATCTCTTCTCAACAAAATAAACACCTTGCAAAGTTGACAACATAAATACTCTGGCCTCTGCATTTGGTATTTCTAAAGAAAAACAGTTGATACTAAATCAAAACAGTGAACTAGAAGTTAGAATGTTTTCTAGGAGAGGGGCTAAAAGTGCAGCTTCTCAGAGCACAGATTTAGCAGCACCAAGAGGTCTCCAGACCAAACCCCCTGCGCTCTGTACCCACGGCGCTGCATGTTGTCTCCCTTTTCCCAGACATTTATGCTCCTGCTGCCACCTTTATCTTAATTTACACTCAAATCCCACCAGAAATTATACCCATTGCACATTGCTCAGGCTAAAATCCTTTACGTTTACACAGAGGACTAAAGTTGCACTTCGAGTATTTATGTCCTTGATGAATTTAGACCTAAAAATAGTTCTGATCATCTCCGCAGGCCTATTCCTAGCCATGAAATTAAGCCCACCTTATAACTGAAGAGTGGCTGTGCCTTGAGCCAGTCTGTTTGCCCTGACACCACAGCACCTTCACCCTCCTCTGGGTGCTGCCACCCATCTCATCCCCCACGAAACATGACACTGCAGTACAGTGACATGAATAAAAGCAGTACAAAAATGAAATAAATTTTGTGTATTGCATGTTGGATTCAAAACTGCTTGCCCCGGCACTACTTTTAGGCTCTCACAAGTCAGGTGTCAAAGAATTATGCCTAACAAACCCTGCAAAACCATACCAACAAACTCAATACCACCTTCTGTACTTGGGGACAGCAGACTTGGCACTAATGTGAAAGATGCACAGAGGAGCATGGTTGTACTCTGTCCTAAACTTTTCCTTCAATGTGATCAACTCAACCACTTGTCACAGGGGGGAAACAGGTTTAGACAACATGAGACACTGTGCTGATAAAGCCTGTTCTAGCAAAATCTGATACTGTGCTTAAAAAACACATACACTTCAGCCTCTCTAAATTTCCCAAATTCGGTTGTATTCTCACCTTTTTACAACACCAGAAAATAAAAGGGATGCCACCAGCAAGAAGCCAGCGTGATGGCAGGACAGTTTGAAGGCAAGAGCTACAAAAATCAGTACTCGACCCTCTAGAGCCCAGGCTGTCTCTGCAGGAACGTATGTGGCTAAGCAGCCGCGCATCACGCAGGACAGCAGTTCTCAAAACTCACCTCATCCCAAGAGAGCTAAGACTTGATCATGAGGACAAGGTGAAGACTTTGTGTGTAGTTTGTTTAGATGAGGTCAAGGTCAGCTTTGAGGTTAGGAAGGAAAGTCCTTTTGGGTACAGAGAACAGGCTGTACAGTGAACCTATATGGTTAATATGCATTGTTTACAGTGTGGGGCAATAAAACATACCTTTTTGCTGCTGGAAAGAATCTGGGCAGCTTTGGGATGGACTCAGGCTAATACAGAAAACTACATAAAGAGGGGAGAGACTGTCCTGAACTTCAAGTACATACACGAACCAAGGAAAGCAGGAACTGCAACAGTGGTTAAGAGCTATCCTTCATCCTTTGTTTCTCCTGGCCTAGGCTAAATTCGATGCAGAAGCAGCCAGAAGTCCCAGACACACATCAGAACCGCTGAGTTCACACTGTGCCAAGGCAGGCAGCAGTCAGGGCTTCTGCACATCAGTGATGAAACCAGGAGTTTGGCCTGGGGGCTGCTGAACAAAGACCCCCGCTTCCTCAGCCTTTGCAGTTCATCCAAGACAACCGTACAGTTACCCTGCATCAAGCTGCTGACAGCACAGTCTCTGTAGGTCCATTTGCTGCTTCCCCTTGAAGAAGCCAAGCAACACTTCCAGCCACGCAGCAAGGTCCCGTGAAGAACAGCTGGTCCCAGAGAACACAGATTTGTTCAGCTCTTCCCTGCAGGGCATTAGCGCTGAGCCCTCCCGACAAATGGAACCAGAGGCACTGGTACTGGCTGCACTTCACCACTGATTATTTTAGCAGAAATATCATCCCAGTCGAGGATTATGAGGAGCCCTGGCCTGCAGCCAGAACTCTGGAAAGCAAGCCAGAATGAAATACCACTCCTCTCCCTCCCTCTGATCCCTAACAGAGATTTACATTGGCTTCACTCATGCTGACAGATTTTTCTATCCACCTAGCAGGAAATGCAGAAGAATACAAATCGGAGCATGTATTACGTATGTCGTGATATGGACACTGCTGAGAAGGGGTCCTTCTACGTCGCCACATGAAACAAATCTCTCTATTGGTGTCACAGCACAGCATCCATTAGGTCGCTCTCTGGGGCAGCTGGTTGTAAGCCCCATCTTTCTTCATGCAGCTTCAACCAACACTTCTGGCTTGTTTTCTCTAAAGAAGTAAGGCCATTCAGGTATCATGCTACAGGTTGCCTCAACTTTTCAAATAGCTCAAATTTAACACAAAGTGTCATTGGAATCACAAAGTGCTCTTCCTTTACAAGGTTGCTCTTTTTATCTGACAGTCGCTTACTACGTGCTGTTTCCTCCTGGAACCACTTGTTGTGAGTAACATCATGTACAAATCCAGAAGTCAGTTTGCCTCACAAGTTATTTTTAATTTCCATTCTTTATTCACATGCTTGCATTAAATGCTGACTTTTTAAGGAGTCTTTTTGATGCCTTCAGCAGCTTTGGACATGACCCTGAATAATGTTCTGCCACGTACTCCAAGCAAATTGTTTGGTTTTGTGGAAATAAGCACACCTAAAAGTATTTGCCTATGCAGCCAGCATTTATTTCACTCCTCAAATAGGTTATAAGCAATTAAATAGGTTGATAGCAAGGAAAGAGTAAAGCAAAATGGTAGTATATTCTGAATTATAAACATGCAATCACCTACCAGATGAAGAAAACAGCTTACCATTCCCAGCCTTGACATCTGTTGCTACTTCCCCAGTACAGCCCACAGAAAGTAATATTGTAATGACTGAGGTTGGAGCTTGGATGCTTCTGAGCCAGCCTCACACTGACCTGACCAAAATTAGGCTGTCCTACCGCTGCAGTGCAATTAAGCAAATCTTTGTAACAGAAAGCTCGCTTGGTCAATTGCATCCCACATCCCGCTCCATTTCATTCAATTGCATCTCCACAGCCAAAATCCTCGCATCCAATTTTTCAGTTAACCAAATTATGGAGCGAAAAAAGTGCCAAGAGGTCCATATACCATTGAATCTGTTCGGCCTTCCTGCCAACCTGCCATTTTCCTCACCTGCACGTATTTCTGCCTTTGCATGTTACCTGTGACTTCCAGCTGTTTCTACAAACTGAGCTGTGCTGATTTTCCATCTCATCCCTTGCAAGTGTTAAAGGCATAAGCTCATTCACCGGCTGAGCAATGTCTGAGCTTTATGAAGTGTCCATTTTATTAATTTTGGCCCTGGATGTCCCGCTCAGCCCCTGGTGCAGGCAGCAGCACCTCTCCCACGAAGGCTCCTGCAGCAGCCGGCCCCAGCGCCCACACACAGCACACGAGCGAGGTCTCAGCCTCTCCTACCCCCTCTATAAATAACCACACGGCTCCTACCCCTCAGGAACACCTCACGGGGAGCTCATTCCTTCGTTAAGTTAAAACTTAAGGTTAAAGGGGCAGAAAGGCTGGAGGGGGGGGAGGGAGTCACAAAGCTTTGGCGTTACCCTCTGGGGGCGAGTCGCTGTGGGGCTGCTCCGGGCAGGACCGGGCTGTGGCAGAGTTACACCGAGGCGTCCCGCAGTGAAGGACGAGGAAGGAGGAGGAGGAGAGTTACACCCAGCCCTCAGCACTGCCTTAACTCAGCCCAGCCGAGCGGCTCGGGGCGGCCGCGGGGTGCAGCCGGGTGCCCGCAGCCCCGCGGGGGGTGGGGGATACATTTTGGCAGCCCTCTGGGGGCGGCTCGCCCGCACTCCTGCTCTTCCTCCCAGCCCCCAGCCGCCCTTCTCCTCCTCCTCCTCCCAGCCCAGCAGCGAGCAGCCTTCCCCCCGCACCCCCGGTCCCTCAGCGGGGCCGCCTCTTACCACCGCCGCCGCCGCCGCCACAGGATGTGCTCGCTGCGAGGAGGCAGCGCCGCCCGTCCGCTGCCGCTGAGGGGAGAGAGCAGAGCCGCCAAGGGGCTGAGGGAGGGCTCGGCAGGGGGCAGGAGGCTCCCGAGATGGCTCCCTGTGGCCGCCGCCTGCTGGTACCGCCCGGGGAGAGGCGAGCCCGGGGCCGCCCGCACCTGAGGCGGGCAGGGCAGGGCCGAGGCTCCGCAGCCGCCTCCCGCTGCAGCCTCCGAGGGTAAAAATAGCAGCGGGGCGGGGAGCAGGGGGCTGGCGGCCCTCAGAGGGGGCCGGGGAGGTTTGGGGGGGGTTAGGGGGACTCAGGTGGGCGCGAAGTTACCACAAGTTTCAGCGCTTGGAGGGATTTGTGGAAGGAAATCGCCTCAGGGAGCTGGGCCCGGCGCTGTGTGTGGACCCCCCCCCCAGGTCCCAGCACAGCCCTGACCCTCTCAGCCTCACCTCCTCGCCCCTGGCAGGGCTGGCAGCAGCTGGGCCTCGTGCTGCCAGCCCGCCTCAGCAATTAGGGGTCCGGGGACTTAATCACGCTGCTCTCCAGATGGCCGAGGCACCCTGCGTCCCGGCTCTGCAGCCCGCTCTGGCTCTCAATTAATTCCGGCTCTTCTTGGCACCGAGGCGGCTGGTTTGCTTGCGTTTAAGTGGAATCAAAGCTTGCTCCGGAAAATTTGCTCCGCTGCTAACGTGCGCTGCTCCATGAGGGAAGTAATTAAGTAGGCTGTCAAATCCTAGCGCAGCGTTTCCCCAGATTATGACAAACAAGCCACGGTTCGGTCCCTAAGCACGTCCCGTACTTGCAAAGAGCGCAGTGGTTGTATCTACATGGCTTCTGCTTGCTCTGTGTACTTTTATAGGATTGATGATGTGTGGGTGAAAGTATGAACGCAGCAGCTCGCTCGGAGCAGTTGTTCCCAGCCTGTACTTTGTTTGTGGCTTGCTGCTCCTCCTTCAGACGCAGGGTTCAGACACAGGAGCACCTCGTGCTTTCAGTGGCATCCCCAAGGAATGCCACCCCTGCAAGCCTCGCCTGTCTCGTGTCTTGAAACCATCACAGCTAAGGACAATGGTACGTAGAGCTACCAGCTGCCAACCTTAGCACCTGAGACAAGTCCTTTTACTTGCTTTAAGCCTGCAGCCTGAGCATTTCATGCCCCTAGTAGTCAATCATGTTATGGAAGACAACAAACTGCAATCCCCAATTACACAGCTCCAGCACTTTGGCCAAGACTAACATAATCCCAGATTATCAAACTGGTATTTTAGGAAGACTTTTTTTTACAGCTTTTGCCTTTCAGAAGGTGATAATGAAACAGATAAGGATCCTACAAGGCTATTTCTTCCTGCTTGGAAAGCCCAAGCCCTGATCATCAACAGAAGTCTAGAGCACCACAAATACAAATCCTCTCTTCATTCTCCTCCTGGATAGCTGGGAAAGAAGTTGGACTGTGACTGATCTCATTCACAGGGGTCTCTTTTACTTTTTCTATTATTCTTAGCTCATGAGTTTTAATTCTTTGCCTTGCATGTTTTTTGTCAAACTACTTAAGATAGAGTATTTCATGCGCAAAGTGAAATGCCTCTGATAAGAACTATACTTACATTGGTTTAATAGTTTCATCTACTCTAGTTTTTTCAAAACTAATTTAAAAGTCCATGTAACAAAAATTCTATGAGGTACCTAAAATGATACAGAGAAATAGGGTTGTGCATTAAGTCACCTTCTGTTTCTGGTTTTAGCACCTTTCCCAGGGCTGCAAGATATGGTTCACCATCCTCATGATATAACAGCTGCACTTTCCTGCAGATAAGTATTTGCATGCTGTATTTGAAGAACAAAAAGATCGTTCTGGCTTGTACATCTGTGACGCGTTTACCCAGGATGCAGGAAGACCATTTTGTTTTCTGCTTGGCCTGAGCAGAACGTTCGACCTACTTTCCATGGAAGTTTCCTAATGATGAACCTCAAGGATACATTGGACAGCATTCCTTCTCCCTATTTCCTGCAGAAAGGGTGAAGTATATAGGAAAAAAAAAAGTTTGATTTGTGAAAATGAGAAGAAAACTAGAAGGGGGTCATAGGTTCGAGTCCATGAGAAGTAAATGCTTCCATGCGTTCCAGGAACATGTAATATACCAAATCAGAATCTCTGTATTCAGGTGAAAGCTCTGAACACCAGACTTCCTAATTCTATTTGGTTTTCTGAAATGGTAAATCTTTGTGTATGTGTGTTTATTTTTTTTTCCTTAAAGACTAAGGAAGAGAAGCATCTGGTCATTTGATCCTAGCTGAGGTAGGTTTGTAGACCAGCACGAAGCAGATCAGTGAAATTTAGGCTGAATACATATGCACAGGGGGAGAGGCAGAACTTTGGGCAGCTGTGATTGTGGATTCACCCTTTGAAGCACGGCTAAGCAAACAGGAAGTTTAAAGTTTCCACCCAAGGTACTTTCAGAGCTGAAGTTCCTCCACAGTTAGCCAACAGCTGAGCAGTAACAATCTGGATTATGACTTAGAAGGTGGGTACCTATGCTGTGCTTGCATTAGAAGTGTCTATGCTTTCCCCCTGGGTAATCATATTAATCAATTTCTAGTTCCATTATTAAAAAAGAAAAAGTCCAAGTCTTTATTTGTGATTTGTTTCGTGTGCATCAGTTAGTACCTCATTAAGGACCTGACACTGTTTTGTAGTCCTTTGACTTAAATGAGCTCCTGATAAAGTACGACATTCTTGTCCAATGACACTGTATCTCCAGACACTCTCTATACATGGTTCCAGACATTCCATAAACAAAATTTATTGGAATGTATTGTTTACTATGTCATGTTTGCCTGATTAATATTCTGTAAAAATGCGTGACAGCAACTTTTCTCGGTGGTTATCTTCCTAGACAAGAGGCTTTCTGTTACCAGTCATCATGAGTAAAGTGTCATGAAAGAGCTGAGCGACTGTTACAGATCCTGCCTGCAGCCCTTTCAGATTTCATGATAAATCCTCCCTCCCCTTCACTCCCATAAATACATCTGCAAATGACGTACCAGCGATTGTGTGAGCATTTCAAGCTTTTCCTTTTGTTTGGGAGCTGTTGTTGCTATGCCACCACCACTCGTATTGCATTTTATTTAGGTGGATGTTAGGAGATGATTAGATAGTTTAATAGGCTCACCCCGTTATGCACAATGTTCTGGTGGTGCGTAGCCTCATTTTGGTGACCTGGCAATCGCTATTCAAAAGAGAAACGTTGGCTTCCACTTGGAAGTTGGACAGGAACACTATCCTTGATGGATTTGTGTACTTACGTAGTACAAAAGATGAAGATTACCTTTGATTTATTTTGTACTTGTGGGCAGAGAACAGTTTTGTTGGTGATTAGTATTTACAATTTATGTTTATATTTTACATAATATGTGGCATCTAGGTGCCCTCTGCCACGGTGTCCTAAAAGTCCCTAATCTTGTAAAGATTTATGTGGGTGCTTAACAAATGGTCCTGCCCTGTTTAATGTCACTGCTCACAGTGGCTGTTAAGCTAGGATGTAAGGTTTGCATATCGCTGGTGTGTCAAAATAAAAAGCACAAGCACCAGAACTTTGGAAAGCAATAGCAAGCAGGAAGTTTATGAAAATGTTGTAAACAAATTAGTTACAGATTTAAACATACTTTATGAATATAAGAATAATTGCTTATCTATTAAATTTTTATAGTGAATTCCAGTTGTCCCTGGCTGGTTGGTTGTTATACAGCAAAAGTCTCAAATAAATCCTTCTGCAACCCAAGTACAGTACTTGTATTTTTCATGCCATGCTGTGGATGAAGTTCACAGACTGCAAAGAAGATGAAATGTGTTTGCTTACTTCTGTCTGAACTGTTTCATAAGGTTTACTGAAATAAAAATGAAAATAAATTCAAGGGTGGTTTTAAGCTGTGACTAGTAAACAAACGAATAACCTTCAAGTGAAATGCATCAGTCTAGCCTTACAGCATTGCCCTGCTTTTATTCTTGTGGCAGAGCTGTAAGTACTGGGGTAATTTCTCCTTAGTCAACAGGCATTTCCTCCCCACCCCCACAGGCATGATTTCCTACTGGATCAAATGTTTACAGCTGGTGTTGACTTTCATTAGAACGATGAGTATTCATCTGTTATACAAATCAGGCTGGTTTTACATGCTTTTGGTAACTCAGGGATGCATCTCTCTCTGGAAGCAGCCAGGAGTTCCCTGACACTTGGGCTCCGTCCAGACTCCAAGCGTTCTTTATTCCTGTCTTGGCAATTGCCATTTCTGGATAAAACATTAGTGCCTCTGCTCCGAGTTCAAGGGTGGTTGCTCGCAAATTACGTTTGTCTGGTTTTTAATGACTGTCCTGGGACTAATCATTGCTGTATTGTCTAAATTGGCTTCGTTACTTTACACGCCCCTTTGATGGAGGAATTAGACCTGCCGTGAAACGGTTCAAGCTCAGCGCCCATTCCAGTGCCCAATGCTGACTGCTCTTGGGTGTATTCCTATTGCTTAGGGTACAGTTCTTCATTGCAGCTCTAGATCCTCTTCCTCTAATGCAAGACAGACCCCACTGACAGTAAGTTTCATCTTGTAATTCTGCAATTTGTAATTGTTCAATCAACTTGAGAAAACAGTGTTTTTATTCCTCCACCCCCAAGAGGTTTAAACTTCTGTTTTGAACAGAGCAAGGAACGGAGCAAGCAAATTCCTTGCCCCTGGGCAGCCAGGATGATATGGTCAAGAGGATGGTTGAGCCTGTACCTGCACTGCTTCTGAGGATGCTCTGAAGCCACCCAGAGGCTGTCCCAGTGCAGGCCTGCTCACTGCTGGCCCCACTGCCAGTCTAAAAGACACCTGGAGAGTTCTCCAAGTGCAGCCCCTCAGTGTCCATCACACAACCTCTCATAGGCCTTTGGGGGATGTCCGTAATGGTCCTTTCACAGCTTGCCTTACACCGTATTCACCCGCTCTGTAAGACCTCTTGCATAACCTAAAAAAGGGGGTCTCGGGCTGATCCCAGTAAATCAGTCCCACTGTGCAGAGGTAACCAGCTGAGGGGATCAGTTAGGTGGAAGATGAGGGAGGAACGAGGAGGTTCCCCACTAAAGGATGGTGACAAGGGTGGTCCCACCATAAGCATGATGGCAGAACCAGGCACCCACTCACCCCAGGAATCCCAGCACGGTCAGGGACTGCCTGCCCACGAGAGCTGAACTGGCTGGGAGATCTCGGGGCAGGACAGACGTAGCAATTAGCACATGTAGCTGGAACTCTGCCATGTAGATCCTCCCCCAAATAGCGGCATCAGCTCAGTGGAAACCCAGCCTGTCACGGGAAGCTGAGCAACAGAGCTGACCATCTGGATCTCCTTAGCATCCCTAAGGACCGAGGCACCTGGCGGACTCTGACCAAGGCTGAATACAGATGGCTTTCCTAGAGAGAGAAAATGCTAGCTAAAGCCAGGTGTGTGCTTGGCATGTAAAGGCAGAGGTGAAAAAAACACACCTCTCTAGCCTATGTAGATATTCAGATAAACACAGAAAATAATTACAATAAATAAGTAATCAGGCCCTCTAACCCTACTGCGTTCAGATCTTCCCCATGAATTTAGGAAAGAGTCCTTTGTCACATTCTGTAACAAAAGGAATGCAAGACTTGCTGCCTTACAAGTGCAAAACAAAAAGCAGCTCAGGACTGCAGGCTTGTACAGATCCACAAAGCCCCCCTGCCTCAGGCAGGGCTCTCTGGCACCTAAACGTGGGGCCCCACATGCCCAGGGATGTCACCAGCTGAGCAACGAGGGCAGCCAGGCCAGCAGCAGTGCATCCAGCTGCACTGTGCCTTGAGGCCAAATGTAGCTGGGGCAGGATTGCCACACAGAAAGGAACCAGAGCCTTGAGGGTGCTGGAAGATGGCACGCACTCCAGACAAGATGTGGTCCCTACTTGTCTATCTTCTGGCAACGGCGCTGCTGCTGGGTGGGCTGTCTGAATGCTGACCCCAGTTCACAGGGGTGACGCTGAGGCTGGATTCCACAAACAGACCAGCCTCAGGAGCGCTGTCGGCTGACCAGGCAGCGAGTGCTCTGCGCTGGGAGTTTGGGCACGGCCGTTTGCTTTGAAGGCCAGGATGCAGTGCAGCACAGGAAGCTGTTTTGCAAGAGTAGCCCGTGGTTAAGCCACACGTTAAACTCTACCAAGAGTGAAATTCAAGTACTGGCCCGGCACTCACCCTTCCACTTCCCTCATTGCCAGCATCTTCAGCTAGGGCGCCCTAATCCTGTTCTGGGACTGTGCACTCACGACTCCCCCTCCTCCCCGCTAACCTGACAGAGGGCTAGAGAGTAGCACGTGTCCCATGCAGGGAGCAACCAACTGGTATCAGGCGGTGGTAGATGACTACCCAGAATTTATTACTCCTGAAAGAGCCCATCACAGCTACAAGGGGGGTAAAACAGTCATGGCTGAGCATGAACGGCACGTGTAGCCCTCCCCTCGTGATGCTGAGAGGTTTCTTGAACTCTCCAGAGATTCTTTTGCAGTTCCCAGCTGCACAGCAAGTGCAACCTTCTAGCTCTATTGAAAAAAAGCAAGGATAGAGAACCTGACCTCTGGGAGGATAATAAAGCAATAAAGTCTTGAATTTATGGACAGTACATAGTTATGGTTGTAAATGTATTCAAGTCACAGTTACCAAAGCAGTTTCCACCTCCCCTAAAAGCTTTGTCTGCCTACCTATTCTGCCAGAAGCGACGGTGCAGCTAAACATGACACCCTACATCAGCTGTTATCCCACTCACCCAACAGACAGCATACCTTCTAGGGCGGATGTTCAAGACAGAAAGATTCCTACCTGGAATGGCAGGGGGAACAAAATAAGGACAAGTTAGGAGAATCAGGTGCCCCTATCTTACATTTTGCTTCTTATGCTCCTGCTCTTTTCTTTTAAATCAAGGCTGGAGCTAAGTCAATAGCTGGAGTTATTTCCCTCCAACTTGTGTACACAATCACCACATACTAGCTCAATTTAATCATTTACCCCCTCTATTATTAAAGTGTCTTTAATAATAAATAAAACCTTTCTGCCACAAGGTTAAGTGGAAATGGACCGGTTACCAATTAATTTATCAACGAGTGTCAGTATCTTAGCAAGTTCTACTTTGTTTTTGAGAATCAGTTCAGATTTACACTTTCAGCGCATACATGTAAAAAGTCTAAAATCCTATATATTTACTTTAAATCCTTAATTTGTCATTTGAGTTCATTTTCAGAAGGACAAAACAGCAGTTGATAAGTGTAGGAATTTCACACTGAAGGCCGATTGCTCTCAAGTGAATGTTGAGACTCCCTTTATAGTTATTACTACAGTCAGTAACCCCTAGAGTCCTATTTAGGAACATGGATTGCATTATTCAAGGCACCAAACAAACATATATCAATAAAATTATCTAGTTTTTGGTTTACCATAGGAGAAATGGAAACAAAGAAATGGAGGGTGCGAACAGGTTATTTGCACAGAAAGTGCTTACTTCCTGACTTCCCACTCTAAAGGACTAGGATTCAATTAACAGTACACACTGTTTCCTCAATATTCTTATTACTTTTTTTTTATTTATTTTCTGTGCCACACAGCTGGACCTCAGTATGACAGATGTAGATGCTGGCTTCGACTCTGTACAGCCAAGAAAAGCTGAAATGTCAGCCAAAGAACACAGGGACTACTCCTTTCTTTGTATCCTCGATTATAACTCTAAGGAGTACAAGGCAAAAGCAGGCATCACATATTAGCTAAGATGGCAAGCAAAGAACCAGTTAAGTCTGGGCACAGAATGACAGATTTGATTCCTGATGAATAATTTGCTAAATTTGATCTACGCTTGACCTAGCAACTAGTCAGTGTCATGGGACAGCACAAGTAGTTACAGTGAGGAGGTTTTTTCACCCAAGATCGCACCCAAGATGTACTAGGGCTGTTAGAGATACACTGATACTCAAAGGAAATACTGAAAATGCAGAAAAACCCTATACTAAAGTTAACTGGTAACTTCCACATAACCACCTCGGACTCTGCATGTGCAGACGACAGCATGAAATGAAAAGGAAACTCCTGTGCTAAATTCAACATGAGGAGTTATGCAGCAAGTCATGTAGCATACAGCAGGACAGGACCTGACACTGGGGTACGTGTTGAACGAATAATGCTTAGATCGATGAGGCAACGGAAAGGTGCTGTGTGCAGATACATTCTGTCTTAAAATGTTCATGGTATTGAAGCCAAGTGCATTTTGCACTTCTAATGAAGAAAAGTTCAGCACACTTAGCATCTCCAACCTGGAGTTTGATATGTAGTCCCACAGCAAACAGAAGCTTTCCAGCAAATTCGTGTGACTTCTTTGTTTATTTGGGCTGAAAACTCTATCAAAAGACCACTGCTTCTGAAACAACTCCCCCAACTTTGCCAAAGTTTCACGACAGGCTTTCAGCTCTTATTAACAGGAACACTTGCTTTACAAATCTAAACCTAGACAGAGTTGCATATCATTATCAGATTACACACAGACAGAAGAAATAAAAGTTCCCCCCAAACAGGCTACATTTCAGAAATCAAGATATTACTTAGAGTATTTAATTAAAAAAGTATTGTTTGAAATACATTCAGAGACAACTTTTTGTTCATAAGATGACTGGCTTTTTTTTGGTCCTTCAAGGGTAGACATGCTTCCCTTCCATAACAAGATACTACATCCAAGAATATGCAGAATGGA